ATAATAAATTAAGTCAGGATGTTGTAAAAAAAAATGGAAATATGGACACTTCAATCAAATACTAAAAATTTGAATCATGTTCCAAGAAAATCCTAACTGTTGATGAACTGTTAAAAAGATAACAAAAATGAGATAAGAAAATATTAGACATACCCTAGTTTTGAACAAGACGTAGGCAATACCCTTGCCCATTCCGAATTGAGGATCTCTAATTACACGAACAGCTTCAATGCTGGATTCGAGATTATTGATACTGCAAAATAGTTGATAAATTTCTTCATCCTGCAGAGAACAATGAGTGACAATGTCTCAAATGTAGACAATGGTAAACACAATTGGGGTCATAAATATCATGATTCATGCACAACTGATCACCTTCACATCAAATGGCAGATTACCAACAAACACTGTCCTCTTGTTATCATAAAGTAAAGCATTCTCCCCTTTTAACTTCTTCCTAGGTGGGCATGCCCTGTCAACACGGATGTGATTTCCTGCAACCTTTATCCACAAACACAAAATATAATTGTCAAAACATAAGAGCTCCACATTGTACAATCCTAGCACTCAAAAAGGCCATGAAACAAATGTTACAGCAATTTTGAAAATTAATTGGTTGAACTGTGAAGATCTACATACCACAGCCATGTTATGGGCCAAAGAAGCCTCTGCAGATTGCTCTGTTTTGAAAACAACGTATGCATGAACACTGCAACAAAAGTGGCACTTCTCATCACCATGATATAATCATATCATACAAGATCTAGCTTAACAAAGGAGAGGAGAATAGCATGCAGAATGGTGGATATAGAACATTGTAATTGTAGTGATCTGGCTCAAGCATAGAGAGCCCTCAAAGCATTAAGAGGCAAGGATTAAACATTGCAAGTAAAATAATCTAAATGTAAACAACATTCATGAGAAATCAAACAATAAAACCTAAATGAGCATTTGAATTGCTGAAATATAAAAAGTGATGATCACACATTGAAAATTGAAACAAACGCTCTACTACAATAAGTAAACAAAAAGATGTTACGTATAATTTACCAACATACCTGTCAGCCTTTTCATTAATTTTCTTCTGCATTATAGCTCCCTTTCTTGGTTTCTTGGTCTAATCCAAAAACGAAAAAGGGGTGACAACCCAAAATGCCATAACAAAACAGCAACCAAAAATCGGAAAATAACATCATACTCACATCAGCCAGTGGAACAGAACGAATCCTCACAGACTCAACCTCTCCAAACTTGCTGAATTCTTTCATCAACATCTTCTTTTTCACATTCAGTGGCAGATTCCCTACAAACACAGTCCTTAAGAGCTTATTCTCATCATCAAACCCTTCCTTGGGAAGCAATGCATCCACTTCATCATCATCATCTGCCTTCTTCCTCTTCTGTCCCGCAACTTTCCCCCCAAATCCTCCCTCGTCCTCTGCTGGCGCCTTCCCATATTTCCTCATCTCATACTCCCTCTCCAACTCATCCCTCTTCCTTTTCTCCCTCCCCTTCACTGAACCTGGGTTCTTTCGGCTTTCTAGTGCATTCTTATCAAAATCCGAACTTGGTTTTTCCCCCTTTTCTTTCCTTTCCAAATCCCCATTAGACTCGAGACCCACATTAAGCTTTTGGGTTTCTTCCTTCAATGCTTTACTCTTCGATTCAGAATCCAAAGTCTTCATTTTTCTAGATTTCTTAGCTTCCGAGGGACTCTCAGTTGCTGCAGCTTCTTCATCGGAACCCAAGTTACGGTTTTTATATTTCTCCTTCTCTTTCTTTCTCTTTGGCTGCTTCAACTCTGCGTTACCAGCGTCCAATAAATCAATTCCGTCAGGCACTTTGGTGGATTCAGTTGAAACGAAGGCTAAAACTGCTTCCTGAGGTTTCCTTCTGAAGGGGTTGCTATCTGAGAAGAGGGACGAAGCAGCGGCATTTTGCTCCTCAACGTTGCCGAACAGAGTCTTAAAGATATCCGACTGAGATGATACGGGGCCACCTCCTTGGCTTGCCTCTCGTTCTTTGGATTTCTTCTTCCCCATTACACGGCTGAAGATGTTAGGAGATGCGGCTTTAGGGCAGGAAAGCAAGCACCTTTTTGGGTGCAAGAGAAGAGATCAAAATATCATCAAATTGAAAACCCTAGTTAGGACAAACTTCAGGGTTGACGACGATGGAGGGAAATCCCGGAAACGGGGACAACGGGACAGGTCGGGTCGGGTTAAACTATTGCGCGTAATGGATTGGATGGGCTGTCCTTGTATGGACTAGTGAGTAATGAGTGACTGCTGAAAAACTGATGCCCAACACAATCTACAGGCCCAAGTCCTAACTTGGGCTCACTTCATTAAGAAGGCAATTTCATGGGTTAGGCGAGATTTCGTGTAATCGTGTTTGTCTTTTTAACTCTCTTTTATCCCACACTCGATGTCATCATTGTATCTTGTTAACCTCTTTTTGCACCAGAAAAAAAAATAAAAATAAAAAAAACTTATTAACCTCTATTTACCACCAGGATCAAATTACCAGTTCTGATACCACTTGTTAGAAGAGTCTAACAGACCGGCACCCCAATCATGGGATCACAACTACAAAGTCCTTACGGTACTATTGACTGTCTACATTCACAATTCTACTAAACTTGTCTTTAAACACTAATCACACCAGGATCCAACTCTCAGCTCTGATTTTACTTGTTAGAGAGTCTAATGGATTGCTGTAGGAGCGCATACATGAGAGAATATGAATACACACAAAAAAATGTTATATTAGATTCAAATGACATACCTATTAAGTTCACAGACCTTATTTATAAAACTATTAAGTCATTTTAATGTTTCTTTTTTTTTTTTTTTCGTTTCATAAAAATTAAGAATTGAATCTTAAATTTACTATCAAATTACATGATGATAGTTAAGCCATTTTAGTACAACTAATATATTAAGTAATTTAATTGTAATTTTTTTTATTGAAAAATTAATTTACAATATTATCTTAAAATAAAATTTTATAATCTCACATGAAAAAATACTTATAATTAACTTTTATCATTCAATAGAATGTATGAATTAATATTAACATGTAAGTACATGTTTGATGCTTCATCAATTTTGTGAAACTATATATTATAAAATGGTATTGTGAGTGTGACATTAACTTCATTTTTAATTCTTGTATAAATGGTAATTTTAAGATCAAGTAAAAATTACAATAATGAATGG